TAGGGAATCATGGTGTTAACCAAAAACCCTTAAGCAGCCCCTTGCTCACTGGAATTGACAAGACAGGCATGGCTCTCATCACCTCACAGGATCAGTCTTGCATGAAAAAACTAATATATTATATACCTACAATGAGAAACTAATTTGACTTTGAGCTCTCTTTTGTTCTTCTATTCCTTTTCAGAAGATTTCTTTTTCATTTAACACATATATAAAAATTGGAGGCATGTATCCCTAGTTTGCTATTAGACCCTTTTAAGAAATTGGAATAATCACTTTCTTCTTACTAGAATTTATGCCTCTTAATGTTTCACAAAAACGTCCAATTCATTATGGAAAAATTCTGTTTACAGGAAAGCGTCTGTACTGTAAGTCTGGTTTTGTCTACATTCTCATCAAAGAGAAAAAGAAAATATTTATTTAGAAACATTACAGTCAACCATTGCATAAATGTTACTGCAACAAGAAGGATTTATGGGAATTTGTTTAAGTAGGACTGACTGTAGGATCAGGCCTCATAATATGGAAGAGACAGAGTCAGAAGTAGGGCATAACAAAATTACAGTAAATGAAGAGGAGATCAAAGCAAAACAGGCCTCAGCACACTCTGGCAAACGAATTCCAGTAAACAGGATGCAATAGCTGAGACTGTTCCTATCTATATGTACATACACACATATGTATGCATGTATATATGTTTATATATAATATACAGTATCTATATAAGTGTATATAGATACACTTATGTACAAATGCGTATATATATATCTATAAAATCAAAATTGTGTGGTTTTGCAGCTACAGTCAATACCGTAATACTATAAATTGTAAATGATAGAGCTCTTGCAAGTCTTTTTCAGATGAAAAATCTTTCAAGCTATTTTTAAATATATAGGACCAGATCCTCCCCTCAAAACCGTTCAGTGAGGTATGTGAGAAATCTTGATCTCAAACATGCAGACTTCAAGGCAAGAATAAGACCAGATTTTCCAAGACAGGATGTGGCTGGTGGCTATAATGAATGCCCTGTGTCACTCCCCAGGGGTTTGCCTCCTGAAAAATTGTATATAACTAGCTGTTAAAACCTCCTATTGCTCTGCCTTTGAGCAATGAAATCTTCTATGCTTACTGATCCTGCTCAAGTAGTAGACAGGTGCATAGCATCATACAGCTTGCCAGTGTTACTCTACTGTGTCACACCTTCTATTACTTTTAACAGGGTTTTACCTAAGTAGTAATCAGCATTTTTAATTAATAATGAGGTTTATTAAGATTAATATAGATTTTTGAGGTTGTAACTTAGATTCACTATACCATGCAATACTGCAGCACAAAAGTCTGTGTGAAATGTTCAGTCTTTTCAAGTTCTATTTCAGTTTAAAGGCTTCATGCCTCAATTTCTCTAAAAAATGCTTCAAAGTGCTGGCCACAACACAGGAAATATCATTAAGAGAAAACACGTGTGCAGCATCTGCATCTGCTACATGTCCTGGCTCCACTGCACTGCCCTCCAAAGAAACGGAGGCTTGAAGAGGACAAGGCAACAGCTCCTTGAATTATATTGTTTCCCAGCTAAAATCCCCATGTAAGCTGCTGCATGCTATGCAGAATAACTGTAACCGTTTTGTACAATGGAGAAAAATCTTCCCCGTCCCTGAAAATTTGTTGTAGATAACCCTCCGTAAACCATTCATTCACACTCTGCACAAGGGCCATACACGTGTACATTGGTGTTTTTATGCAGTCAGTTGCATATTCAAATATTGAAGCTTACAGCGTTCTTGATGATTATAAAGGCCCTCTAGAAATATTAAGCTAATATTTATGTATGAGTTGATCAGCTGACCATTACCTAACTACATTAACTGATTGCTACATTAGACTACAGTAAGCAATTCTGTAAACTTTTGGGGGAGGGTATCAAGCAATAAAAAACTCCAGAAGAGCAGGTAGTTCAAGGTAAGTTATTCACAACCACTCCTCCATTCATATCTTCATGATTTTCTCACTAGATCCTGTTGAATTCACGGCAAAAAGCAACTAGGGATATACAGTCCTTTAACCTTTTTCTGCACTAAAAGAAGCCTGGGTCATCAATCACAATTGATCTCTCTTTCTCTGTTTTGGCATAGCTTACTATTTTTACATTGGCAAGTAGTTCAAGTACAAGTGAATTTCTACAGCATTGATTTATTTTACATAGTAATGTGTAACATGGACAAGTCTGTACGTTGAAGACAGCATAAAAAAAAAATCCTTAGGTGTCATATTCTTTCTCACTTGTAAAGCAATTACCTGTTTCTGGATTCTGCCGAACTGGAGAGAAAATATAAACACCTTAAGTTCAGCATTTCAGGCAAGGATGCATAAAGTTGGTATCTATTAAAATTGACCATGTTAATGCAGGAATAAGCTTACAAGACCATAATAAATGCTTTTCAGAAATAAGGGAGAGGGGAGGAAAAATAATCATAGGCTGCTGTACCACCTTATCAACTAATTCCAGCAGTGCGCAGGGCACAAATATCACAATGGGACCAAATTATCTTCATAGTATGCCATAAGAAAACAAGAGGAAAACAGGAAGGAAAAGACAGAATTCGTTGTTGTCACATTCATCTGTTAGGTATTCATTGACTGTCACTGCTCCTATACGATGAGCATTTATAACAATCAAGAACTCACATTATGAAATAAAAATGAGTAACCACAAACCCTCTTTCTAATCAAAACCAAAAATACCTTTGAGCCTCTCTTCTTGTTCCATACGCAAATGCACGCACAAAATTATAAAGGAAAAAACGCAAGCTGCAAGACAAAACATTGGCTGGTTGAGAAATCTGCAGTCCTTCAATCTTGTACCAAGGTATAAAGGCTATTAGAATTTGTGCATTCCAGAAATTGTGGAGGGGAAATAGAAGATGTAATGCTAAAAGTATTCGGGAACTAACAGAAAGGGAACTGTATTATTTGTGGTCCATAAATTACAAATGAAAAATGAGAAAGAATGAGTTTATATAAGCATATACATATATGTATATATATAAATATTTATATTATATAATTTACCATGAGGATGAGGACATGCAATTACTGGTATAGCACCTATTATACAATATAATACAAAGGAATAGGACTTTCCAATGGTACAGTTTCTGCAGAAAAAGCAGGTATACCCTACCTATTGCATTCATCTGTAGTGCTTGAAACCTGAATGAAATTAAGGTTCCACACTGTGCTACATTACATATGGGAAACAATATACACATTCATAGTAAGAAAAAAAAATCAAATAGTCTGACAAAGCAAGTAAAATCAGTGCAGCTCCAGGGCAGCTTTAATGCAGCATTAGAATGTGTTAGCTCAGAGACAAAATATTCCCTTTTTAATCCAAAGGTATTCATTTGGCAGAGGTTAAATAAAAAAGCACAGATGCTGGCTGGAGAGGCATATGACTACAGCAAGCAGATCAGTAACTGACAAGTCTCCTATGCATCCAGCATGCCCGCAACAGGAATAATTAGGGAGAGCTGGCTGCATCTTTCTCAGGCTTGCTTTCTTGTGCGTTACTATTCTGACTCACTACTCTCTTCTGAATATAGCAAGAGGTGCTGTACCAACATGTTCCCCACAGAGATCCTGTAGAGCACAAGAGATTATTAACTACCAAGCAAAGCTGGAGGAATTACTGACAGACAATGAAGCTTGGCTATCAAAAAAACATTTGGGCAAAAGAATGACAAGAATCCAACATTAAAAATATCTCAGATTGCTTTCTGTATATTTCGCTTTGATGACTAATATTCTCACTCACATTTTGTAACTGTATTAGAGTCTATTTCTGTCACCTATAATCTACCAAATTCACAAAGTAAACAATCTCCTCATCTCTGTTTCATCTTTCAGGTTTTTATGAAACGCATGACCAAAAAAACAAATCTTGGTCGGTAACCATCTCTGCACAGTAAGATCGGTGGTTTAAGTGATCCATAACTAATGGAAAAACAAAAGCCAGCAATAACAGGGGTTCTTTTTGCAGCTGAGTTAAGAGAAAAGAGATACTTCTGTTTTCTAACTTATTTTCTAACATACATTGCAACTTATTGTAAATCTGCAGCATTCAGTGAAGTGCAGACATCTCTTCCTTTCTCTCGTTTCCTGGGCAGGAATGCTTTTCCAAATTCTACTGAACACAGTTTGAAGAACACCACTATGACTCCCAAAGAAGCGTATGATATAGAACTGAAAATTAGATTCTTGGATCCTAATTAGTACTAAATAAATTTCTAAAGAATATAGCTATTAAAGATCTTGACAAATGTTAATATTAATCTTTTTAATGTCATCAGTTTGAAGAAGGGGTAAGGAATATGATTCTTCCTTAGGTTCCTTAGGTAAAAAATCTGTGCCATGGTAGATGGGGGACAACATGAGCACTGAGCGACTCAGAGATGTGTGCAGCTCAAAATAGAAGAGACTTATAAGGTAGAAACACCATCATCTTCTAAATTGTGTGCTTTTCTAAAACTGCAAAGATATGCTTGAGCAGTACTTATCTCCCAAGTGGTGATGTCATTTTGGGAATAACCGTTTCAGGTTTTCTTACATACTCCTTGAGTATGTAAGGCCTTAAATAATTAGGCCAAATCTTCTAGCTAGGTAAACTAAAACCGTAGAAATAAATACTCTTTTAAAACACTCAGAGATATTTTTCACTTTAAATACATTGCACCTCTTTGACTACCTAGTCATTCTCATCCTGGCCTCTACTTCCCCTCTCACGGATCTGCTTGCTGCCTGCTCTTAGGCAATGCCTGGCCACTTATTTACACAGTATGCTTTCTCATGAATAGTTTATGATGCTTACTTTCTTTAAAAAGCGCAGATTCAACACCATTTTTTTAACATACTTTTTTTGATTATTTTTTTAAATACACAGTACACAGACACAACATGCATCAGACTTAGGAGGAGGCTTTATGCCTGACAAGGCCCAGTTCCTATCTGCTAACCTTAGTGGTCGATTTGCTCTTTCCTGTGGGAGTCTTAGTGTTTGGGGAATGGTGGAAGGAACTGCCAGATCCTTTCAGACCATTCTTGCTCGGTTTGATGTAGCAGTGCTCTTGTTGGCAGGATCTCCTAGAAGATGAGGAGCCTGAATGGCTAGGAGGTGATTTACTCCTCCCAAGATGTGGGGATGAACTCCTCTGATCATGATGGGGTCTCCCAGCCCGGGACGGAGAAGAACTGGCAGTACGGGGTAAAGAAGAGCTCCTAGGAGAGGCACTGGGACTGCGTCGGGGAATGACAGGGCTTTTGGGTGGTGTTTTTGGACTATGTGGAGATCCTGGACTCTTACACTGGGTAGAACTCCTTGGTCTTTGAGATCCATTCTGTAGGATTTGAGCCAGACGAGAGATAAGATCTGAGTCCGAGCTGCTACTCCCTAGGACTCTGTATCTGCGTAACCTTAAGAAGAAACGAAGAAAGATTAGTTCTGTTCCCATCTATACTCTAAATTTCATATAGATACACAGTATCACTGGAAACTAGAGATGAGCTTACATTGCAGAACAGACATCTGGAGCTGAACTGCCCTGTAAGGTAGCGGTGTTTGGATCTAGCCTTTGGCTTCTGTGTTGTTCAAATCAACACAGTATTTATATTTGCATAAGCTCACTCACATAAACAGCCTAAGTGTTTATAGGATAACTGAAATTTCCCAGTGGTGCTGGAAGAAGTGCGCTGAAGGGCAGTATTTATCGCCTCTGTTTCGGAGGGGTACATCCATTCCTGCACACCATCAATGCACTCCTATACACAATTTAAAGGGATGACAAGGCACACCACAACTCCGTTCAGAGGATTTCACACTACTGTATCAAAATTCTCCTTATCCTGGTAACATAGGCACTGAAGAAACTAGATCCTGGTTGTCTGTATATAGAATTGGCAAACGGAGGCTTCTAGAATTCACTCTGCCCTCCTTTAATCAGTTGTTTTTACTTAACCATAATGTGAGAATAGTTAACTCACTCAATACTGATGGCTGGAATCTCCAAACCCGAATACTTAAAACATCTTCAATAAGAACAGCTTAATTTTCAAAGGGGCTTGATATGACAGATTCTATTCACTTCTCTGAGTTTGTGAATAATCAACAGTTCCGGAAAAGTGACCCCACTTTAAAAAAAAAGTGTAAAGATTTAGTTATAGATGGACAGGTTTCAAAATACTGAATATACATCTATTGATGTACAAGGTTTAACGGTGAAGCAGGCTCATTCTTGTGTAACAGCCTCTCATTCATTCCCCAACACTTTAAGATTTCTCAGAAAATTGAAGCCCAGCATTTTAAAAAAAATAGTTAAAGGATGGAACTTCTACAGGATTACATACTGCATAGTAATTGCAGTCTAGCTCAAATCCTTTTTCAACCTGAAAACCTATTTCTATTTTCTCTGCATTACCTAGCTTCTACCCCAGGTCTAGTAGGTGGTTTTCCTGGTGGTGGCCGAGGAAAGAACTGAGCTGAACTTGAACTGGTGACTTGATCAGTGGTTGCCCAGGACACTGGCCTTGGAATCTTGCTTTTTCTGGACTGAGGGCTGCTTGGAGATAAAGAGCTATCTTCCGTCTGCTTGCTGAAATGAGAGTCCAGTGTCAATCTAGAAAATGAGGACAAGACATCATCCTCAGAAAACGGTACTGGAGTAGCAGACATTTTTTCCTCCAGTGACTTATCAGAGGCACTTGAGAGGTCACCAAGGAAAGATTTGAGCTGTCTCTTTTCCATAAGTAGTCTGACCAAGTCTGTCTGATGGGCCTTTTTTAGAAGAAGCTTTTCCTTTGCCGAAACAGAAGAGGACTCTGATGTTGAGTCTATCTCTTGTGCTAACACTGGGATTCGGCTCTGCCGGAATACAAAAGGAGATTTAACTAAGTCCTTCTTAGATCGATGAGAATTCTCATTTTCTGAAATGCAGTGGAATAACTCTCCATTTCTGGGAGCATTTTTCTCTTTTTTGTCCTCCTGGTGCAAAAAAGTAGTAAGGGCCACTTGGTGGCATTTCAAGTCTTGGATATGGACTTCTTCCTTATTAGAATGAAAACCATTTTCCTGAACTGGTGCTATTTTGCTTGCCTGTCTATTAACATGTGGTTTGGTGAGTCTTGAGGGAGAAAATTCTGATGTTTTAGGTGCTATCGACTTCAGAACCTCATGTTGATTTGGCACCAAACAGACGGGCCTTGGCTTTGATTCTTCAGCAGCTTCAGTATTCGTTAGAGGTTCTTCCTCTGCAGATTTTGAGTTTCCTTGCAAAGAATTCTGTTCTTTGCTTAGCGTTTCAATGGCAGCCTCAGAAACCACTGGAAGCTTTTCTTCCTCAGCATCCTCTACAGGAATATTTTCAAGTTCTTTCTCATCCTGTATTCCACTATGTTGTTCAGATAGGTCCTTTTGGCCACAGTCCAGGGCATTGACACATTCTTTGACAAGTCCTTCGCTGTCAAGCACCTCTTGGCTGATATTAAGTACCAAATCTGGTCTGCTGGCACTAGCTGGAAGTGCATCTTCTGTCACAACCAAAGCTGGTAAACTTTCCTTTGGAGAGGAAAGTTCCACGGTGTGTTCCATAGACTGAGCATCCTGCTCTCTTTTCTCTAGCTGGTGGCCATAATGAAAGCTCTCTGAAGCAGACTGTGTGGATGCCACTGAAGGTCTGGGTATTGTTATCTGCATTGGAAAATTAGAGAAGGAAAAGGTGAGAAACTCAGGAATGTTATACAGATAACATTCTTTAAATAGCATTTTTGATTCCGTATCTTCAAGATACATTATATAATGATTCCTATGAATCACAATTTTCAAATAATACCTAACTTCATAATTTACATCTAGATAATTAGAAAAAAACCCCAACTCTATCATCCCAAGACAGAAACGTGAAACAGGTGAAAACAAACAATCTCAGTGGAAAAACGTTGTAGTTACCAAGTAACCCTCCTGGAAATGAGATCCAGCCTAGCAGGTAGACTTTTTATTTAATTTATGTTAGTTTGAATACTTTTAGAATAAGTTGTATATAAACATAAAATCTTTAACAAGTACACAACAATATTTTTAGACGAGTAGAGAAGACAAAGAACACAGGTCCGGGTTCAGGAATGGACTTAAATTTCCATTTAGGCAGAATTTAGATACTCCGTTAACAAAACAATTAATAAGAAACTTTATTAACCCGATTAAATACATCCATACCCATAATACCCACATTTTCATCCAGAAAAAAACTTTCCTAAATACCCAAATTTCACCTATTACCTTCTCTATAGAAGCTTATGCCTCGTTTTAACAAAGCAACCTGGTTAGGACGTCTCCTTACCTAAGGTCATTAAGAGATTCACAAACTAAATATTCACACATCTAAATACCCTAATGGGTCTAATCCAACAGGTATGCTTAAAGCACTCCTAAAACCTATATATAGTATTGAGCCAAGAGCCACTTTGCAAAACAGTTGATTATGATGAGCGCTGCCTCTAGTACCTAGCTTGTTAGAGCACATGTCCAGGTAATGGAAAACCTGCATTCATGACTCTGCCCACCTGAGGGACATAAGCTCACTTCCCCCAGTTAGTATGGAAAAAAACAGAATGGGGTTGCTTCTCACCTTACGCATTGAAGTCAGGCCACTGCACAGACAGAAATGCAAGAGTCATGAGGTCAGAGGATGGGAGAGCACACACAAAAGTGAGAGGAGTTTTACCTCTATGGCCAAGGGAGGAATGCACTCTCCTGTGAAGAGGAGTCCTAGATTCTGGTTTGTAAATATTGGACTGAGCCATTTGATAAAACATATAACTGGTAAAATATCAAGGGGCTACCCTTATGTCTTCCTCTAAATGGACAGACAGTTCAGCTCCTTTTTTCCTTGTATTCTTTAGCCTCATGAATCTGAACAGTTTGAGTTTGTAACACTCAGCAGAAAGTGGAGGTCTGGAGTCTTGGTTTGGACATAAAGAGTTTCTTGATGCACTGATGGTAGAAGAGACAAGTGGTAGCCTATTTCTAGTGTCACCAGGATTCTGCAGTGTTACAAGACAGATTTCACTTGACCTTGTTGCAGAAACTATACATGCTGCTGAGCTTAACAGGCTTTTGCAAGAGCTAGTATATTGGTACTACTAGGTGGTAGAAACCAAGTTCATCTGTTAGGACCTGTAACAATTTATACTGTCTACTGAAACTTTACAAATACAGAACAACTCTCCAAAATACGTCATAAATAATAAATAAATAATAAAAAATAAGGAGGTATATTCAGATCTCCCATGAGAGTATAACAGCTTCATTGAAATTCTTGCTGATGTTTTTTTGCATTTTCGCCATAGTCCTGCATAACAAAACTTCCATCATTATGGGTGCACATTTACCTCCATGAAACACAAACATTCAACTGATACTATAAACAGTTCACTAGAACAAAACATGAAACAATCACAGGCATAAAGCTGAATTAAAGAGAGGACAATTATTTATGTTAAAGAAATTCTCTCTATACTATAAAATGTATTCTGAATCTCTCTATAATTTACCTAATGCAGCTTTTGGACCTTAACCTTCAAATGTGGAATCATATATTTGAGAAATTTGAAATAAAATTTGGATAAAAATATTTTCTTAGTTTTACAAATAGGATTAGCTGTTAGGCTACAGAAAGTAGTATTTTTCACTGTTGGGGCGCACAAGGGGAAGAGCAGAAATGTAAGATAATTGAACTCTTTTTTTTTCCTAAGTAGACCTAAGCTGTCTGTAGCATCTTCCCCAAGTTGAGATTTATTCAAATAAGCAAAATGAAAAAAAAACACACAACCAAAAAAACAAAAAAAACCCACCACTGTCACCTGCAGCAAGAGGCTAGTTTTTGTCTCTCTGATAATTTGTTTTCAAGTTTGGGCCAATACAATACTCTTCATGTTTGCTGAATTAAAATGGTACATTGAGAAACAAACCAAAGTCACTTAGTTTCAGCAAAAGTTCTCCTCATCTCCTCTTACTCTTAGCCTGGATTCTTTCCTCTGAAAGAAACACTACTTTCCTCTTGAGTTAGAGAAGTCTTTCTTACTTCGAAAGCTTTCTTGTGAGAGAATCCAAGCACATCAGTTCAGCTACAAAAAGAACGGAGGAAGCAGAATTTTTTTTTTAAAGCACCTTTCCATGATTAGGTCAGTTAGTGCCTAAATCTTGAGTGTGAAATAAAAACAGCTCAGCAAGAACTCTGCACATATAGTACAAGGGATAAAACTGGAGAAAAAAGCAAGAAAAAAGTCTAGGAAATAGGAGAGCTATTCCATAGGTTTCCATACATCTCTAGAAGTTGCTCTGAGGTAACACATCTCCAGGTATCATATATTGAAGGACTTGCTTTCATATGCCAGAGGAATTTATTTTTGCCTGTCACACAAAAATCATCAGATTTCTTAGAAATTCTCAACCACAAGCTGGGTAAAAGTGGGTGCATCACTTGGGCATTTGCTGTCCATTCAGCTCTGTCTCCAGCTTGTTTCAATACCCTCTTCTCCAAGGCTGCAGACAGAGTCTCCAAAGTAAGGAAATATGGTAAGATCTTTCCTTTTCAAAACTTTCCACTCGATGAGCTAGTCTGGTTGCCAATTCAAATTACTCAGGAATAATAAAAAAAAAAAAGAGTTGTCTTCCACATATCTGAAGACGGATGGCTTCCCTTAGAATAGAATGGTTCTGGTGCCCTCTCAATTTTTAGAGGTAAGACAACCTTAGTTATTTGCTTTTAGGAGGATATTTATGTTCTTGGTACATTTCAGAAGGGCTAAAATTGTATTTAAATCCTACTTTGCTCAAATACGTTTATATGGAAACTCTTTTCCTTGTGACCTCTCTCTCATTTGTCAATTGCTAGCTGAAACCAGCCTCTGATATGAAACATAGTTACATTTTTCAACAGACTTCATATCCTTTGACACATCTGGAGAGAGAATTTCCTAGTCTCCCATGCCTATCTTGGCCAACTCATTTAATCCTTACACCCAAGAAATAGAAGAGAAAGCTTGTTGAAAAACCTACAATAGAACAAGCAGGAGCTATTTGTGAAACAAAAACATTGACTAAGTGGAGGAAAGAAACGGATATTGGATGACTAAGTATCATCAATGCCTCAGTACTACTGAGCAGTTCATAGTTCCAGAAATGGCTTTTGAACACATACATCACTTTCTTGATTTGTGTTCACTAACAAACAAAAGTTTTTCTCAGATGGTCTATAAACCTCTTATTAGCCTTCTTAAAGCACAAGAATTAAATTATATCCCTGCTGGGCTTGACGTTTCACCTATATGTGCAAGAAATCTCAATGGGTAATCATGCAGAAGTGCCTTTCATGCAAATGTTGCTACAACTTCAGGTGCAGCTTTAAGAGAGAAACAAAGACTAAGGCTAATTTTTTTAAAATCTGGGAATGTGCATGAGTACACAGTACTTGTACAGAACTGAACACTGTTAGATGCTTTCATTTGGAAGAACTTGGATATAATAGCCAATTACTGAAGAAATGGCAGAAGCTTGTAGATGATCCTCCTAAGCTCTGTAAAAGATTTCTTCGGGTAAAGCATCAGCTTCTTTACAAGGCTGGCCACTACAGATAACTTCATGATTCACACTATGCAGAATTCTAAGTAAAAAGACTGGAGGAAGTTTTGAATCCCTTAGAATAATTTTTAAAAATAATATAATCCTGTAGCTTTAATTATCCCATAAATTGTCTTCTAGCTGTCCTGTTTGTGAGACCTTGCAAGCAGAAGTCATAATCAAGGAGTCTGAAGAGGGCTGATACTGAGACATGCAAATTATACCAATTTAAATTATCATTTAGTCTAACTGAGACAGAAATCTCAAAGTTGTCCAATACCTATCTAGTTACAAAACAAATAAACATGGCCTAATATGTAAAATTTAAAAATCCAATCATAATCATAAATGATCCTCAGACTTTCTTTTATTCTGCCACTAAAATCTTATCCTATGAGATTTCCATGGCTAATTGTGTCAATTTTGTACAACACTGAACCTGAGGAACAGAGATTACAATGTGATATGGGCAACTCATCTAAGAAGAAAAATATGGGCAATAGAATTTTAAATACTCACAATGATAATTAGTTTATAACACTATCTACCTGATTATCACAATTTCCATACTTCAACAGAAGTTATGTGAAAATTACTGAAAATGGCTGAGACAATATATGGAACAATGAATTTGAGGTTCTGCTTTCACTCTGAAATATTTTAATAAAATTATGACCACCACAGTCTTCAATCCTTTGGCTGTCCCTAAATAATTTCTTAATTCTTTTCTGATTTCTCAAATTAACACTTGAAAGAGATGAGAAATTAGACTGCATTTTCTTCAAGAAACTTCACAAAATGGTAAGTGGGATGTTAGAAAGGAAAAAGAACAAAACAACATCAACAACATCAACATCTCTTGGACATTCTTTATGACACCTGACAAACTCTCCTCCCTTTAAACCTTTGACAGGCTGCAATAGCAAGTGATATGCTTGGATTAAATCCTCTGTGAACATATACGGCAAATTGCAAAGGAGTGCAATATTTGAGTTTTGGTCTGCAAAGTTGCTAAGTCTGAAAGATCTAAAGGTGTGAATATGGATTATTGTACAGTACTGGTAGGTAAA